ATACCTGGGTCAGTTTGGGGGTGCTCTGAACAATCCATGGCTGGAGAGTACCTTAAAGAACCTTGGATTCAGGAGGATTATTGTGATAGAGGAGGAAGGGTGTTGAAGAAGGTCAGTGGTAGGGTCAGGCTGGGAATCCAGCACAAGGCCTGAGTCGTTGTCTAGAACCGGTAGACTCCTAACTCTCAGGCAATCTGGTTCAAATGTGACTCTGGTGGTACCTGTTTCCTAACTTTTTGTGTATCATTTTCTCTTTCTGTGAAAATCCTTAGCTACCCGGACATAAAAATACTACATTCATATTTTATGAGTCAGAACTGTGTAGCCAGATATATGCCTCTAATCCCAGAGGCTTGGGAGGCTGAGGCAGGAGAATCTCAAATTCAAAGCCAGCCTCAGCAATATAGCGAGGCTCTAAACAATTTAATAAGACACAGTCTCTAAATTTAAAAAAAAAGAAGAAGAAGAAGAAAAAGAAGAAGAGCTGAGGTGCTCAGTGGTTAAGGGCCCCTAGGGTCAATCCCTCGTACCCAAAAATAAATAAATAAGAACCATGCAGACTATATTTTCCTGTACCTACTTTTTCTTTCTTTGTTTTGAGGCAATGGGGATCCAGCGTAGGGGATTGTGCACACTATGTAAGCATTCTGCCACTGAGCTAAACCCACAACCGAAAATGTCATTGGCAACCATTCACTCTATCACTGAGCTACAGACCTAGCCCCTGTGACTGTGGATTTTCTTTCTTTCAAGTCCTCTTTACCACTGTGCTACACCCCCAGCCCTTTTTACTTTATTCTTCTTCTTCTTCTTCTTCTTTTTTTTTAATTTCAAGCAGAGTGTCACTAAATTGCTTATGGCTTTGCTACACCACCAGCAATTTATTTATTTATTTTGATACCAGGAATTAAATCCCAGGAGCTCTTAACCACTTTTAAGATATCCTGAGCCCTTTTTGTTTATTTGTTTTGTTTTTGGTGCTGGGGATCAAACCCAGGGCCTTGTGCATGAAAGGCAAGCACTCTACCAACTGAACTATATCCACAGCTCCCATCCTGAGCCCTTTTTAAGAATATTTTATTTAGAGACAGGGCCTCATTGCAATATAAATTTAGCATATTTTGCCCCCCTTAAAAAACTCTAACCTTGGGCTGGGGATGTGGCTCAAGCAGTAGCGCGCTCGCCTGGTATGCGTGCGGCCCAGGTTCGATCCTCAGCACCACATACAAGCAAAAAAATGTTGTGTCGGGGCTGGGGATGTGGCTCAAGCGGTAGCGCGCTCGCCTGGCATGCGTGCGGCCCAGGTTCGATCCTCGATCCTCAGCACCACATACAAACAAAGATGATGTGTCCGCCGAGAACTTAAATAAATAAATATTAAAAAAAAAAATAAAGGAGACTGCTATCAGGTTCTGTTTAAAAAAAAAAAAATGTTGTGTCTGCCGAAAACTAAAAAATGAAAAAATATTTTAAAAAACTCTAACCTTTAACATTCACTCTCCCTATTTTTCTCTACCCCTCAGTCCTATAATATTACTAACATATTATCTCTATGGATTTGTTACTTCACATTTCCTAAAAATTAAATTAAACAAGGACAATGTTTTTGAGGTTCTACATTGTTATATGTGCCAGTACCTCATTCTTTGCCAAAATGTATTCCATTGTATGGAAATACCACATTTTTACTGTATTCATTGGTAGATATTTTTGATTGTTTCAAGTTCTTGGCTATTATGAATAACAGTGCTCTGATGGTGTTCTGAATATCTGTGTACAATTTTTAGTGCATTTTTTTAAGATACTGGAGATTAATCCCAGGGATGTTCTACCTCTGAGCTATGCCCCTGGGCCTGTTTTTTTTTTTTTTTTTTTTTTAAGAAAGGTCTCACTAAGTTTCTGAGGCTGCAGGGATGACTGGCATGTGCCACTGTGCCTGGCTTTTCTACCTTTTTTAAGGTGGACATCCTAGTGGGTTTGTGAATTTATATGTCATTGTAATAGATTTTCATTTTCTGAATAGATAATTAGGTTTTTATGTGCTTTAGATAAACATGATTTGATGGGCAGAGTATGGAGCCCCCCAAATTTGTCCACAACCCAATCTCAAGAACCTGTGAACGTTACCTTGTATAGCAAAATATACATTGCAGATGTGACTAAATTAAGGATTTTGAAATGAGGAGATTATTCTGGGAGGCAATATTATCAAAGAGGTCCTTAAATATGAAAGAGGGCTGAGAGTATAGCACAGTGGTGCAATGCCCTAAGTTCAATCCTCAGCACCACAAAAAGGAGAAAAGAAAATGGGTTCAGGAGGATCAGAGAAGGGAATTTGACAACAGAATCAGGAGTGAGAGATAAATTTTGAAGATGCTAATGAACTGCTTTTTAAATTTTTTTTTAATTTTTATTTTTTTAAGTTTTAGATGACACAATACCTTTATTTTACTTGTTTATTTTTATGTGGTGTCTGTGATCGAACCCCATGCTTCATGCATGCTAGGCAAGTGCTCTACCACTGAGCCACAACTCCAGCCCCTAATGCACTGGTTTTTAAGACAGAGGAAGGGGCCAGAAGTCAAGGAATTTAGGCAGCAGGTAGAATTGGAAAAGGCAAGAAAATTGATTGACCCCTAGAACCTGCAGAAGGAATGCAGCCATGCTGACATCTTGATTTTAGCCTGATGAAATTTCTGCCCTACAGAACTGTAAGATAATATATTTGTTTAAATCAGTAAGTATGGGGGTCATTTGATGAATCATTATTAGAAAACTAATACAGATTTTAAGCATTTTTCATTGTGCTTAAAGGGCATCCATATATTTTCTCTGGAGAAATGCATGTTCAGATTCTTAATCAAATTTTCAGAAGGTTCAGCCTTGAGCATAAGTGTAAGAGATGACTTAGCTTTTAACCAGATTCTCTTCATTTCCGCCCCCCCACCTTGCTGTTGAGTTTCTATCTGGTCTGTGTGTATTGATATTACATCCTTCTGTTAACCTCCACTAATTTTTAAAACATTTAAGAAATTTAACTGATATAATAATTGTACATTTATGGAGCACAGTGTATTATTTCGATACATGTACACAAAGTGTAACGGTGCCAACTTTACAGATCAAGATAAGAAGCATACCCAACACCTGAATATTTGTTGTTTCTTTGTGTTGAGGACATTCAAAATCCTCTGTCCTCCACTGATTTTTTTTTCTAAAAAAACAAAACAAAACAAAAAAAAACACTGAGCCATTTCCCCAGCCCTTTTTATTTTTTTAAAAATTTTGAGACAGGGACTCACTAGGTTGTTTACAGTCTCTCTAAATTGTTGAAGCTGGCTTCAAATCTGTGATGGTTGTCTCATTCTCTCTAGCTGCCGGGATTACAGGTATGTGCCACCACACCCAGCTAAATGATTGTTCTTTTTAAAAGAATATTCACTGGTTATGGTTAGTTTACTGGTAAAAATGTCTAAGTTCTTCATGCAACTATTCTAGGAGTGCTTCTCTTTTTTAATTTCTTCTTCTTCCTCCTTTTTTTAAAAAATTTTTTGGACATGAGGATTGACTCCAGGAGTGCTTAACCACTGAGCCACATCCCCAGCTGTTTTTTTAAAAATACTTATTTCATTTATTTATTTATATGCAGTGCTGAGACTTGAACCCAGTGCCTACACATTTGAGGCCAGCACTCTACCACTGAGCCCCCAGCTGTTTTTAGTTTTTATTTTGAGACAAGATCTTGCTAGATTGCTAAAGCTGGCTTTGAACTTGCAATCATCCTACCTCAACTTCCCTAGCTGCTGGGATTAAAGGTGTGCCCTGCCACAGCTGGGATTAAAGGTGTGCCCTGCCACACCTGGCTCCCTGCCCTCTCTTTCTCCATATATACATATATATATGTACACACACACATATATAAATATATAACTTATTATTCTATACAAATGCTGTTCACTGAGGTTTGGGTTTCTTGTGTGTTTTGAGTTTTTGTCTTTGTTTTGCTGGGCTGGATTTGCCTAGGGCCTTGCCCATGATAGGAAAGTGCTCTACCACTAAGCTACATCTCCAGCCCAACCCTGATTTTTTTCTTCTTTTTTTATTCAGTACTGGGAATTGAACCCAAGGTGCTTTACTACTGAGCTACATTCTCAGACTTTATTTTTTCATTTTTGAGACAGATTTTGAGACACATTTTTGCCCAGATTGGCCTCAAGTTTGTGACAGGCCTCAAGAGTGCTGTCCCAGGCAGTGAAGGAACTCATTGAGGGTGAGTGACCTTCCCCCTTTGCCCTGCGCCAGTGAAGGAAGAGGTGAGGAAGGTGGAAGGATAGGGTGGTCTCCTGCCTCCAGATTACCTGGAATTCCAGACCTGGGCTATCGTGCCCAGCTTTTTTGTTTTGTTTTGCTGCGCTAGAGAACCCAACAACCCAGGGCCTTGAGCATTTGTTTCTTTTAGTATGGGGGATTGAACCCAGGGGTGCTTAACCAATGAGCCACATATTTAGAGAGAGTGTGAGAGAAAGAATTTTAATATTTATTTTTTAGTTTTCGGCGGACACAACATCTTTGTTTGTATGTGGTGCTAAGGCTCTAACCCGGGCCACACGCATGCCAGGCGAGCACGCTACCGCTTGAGCCACATCCCAGCCCGGATCTTTTTTTTTTTTTTTTTGAGACAAGGTCTCACTAAATTGCTGAGGCGGGTCTGGAACTTGCAGACTGCGCCCGATCTGAGATTGTTTATTAATGATTTATTTCCTCTATACTTCCTATATCAATAGGGCACAGTAATGCGCACCCAATAGTAAATACTTGTCAAACACATGAAAAGAATCAATACCTGGGAAGGATAAATTGATATTCCATCAGGACTACTTTCATAAAGACAATTTCCTTATAGGTTAGGCTCGGCTTGCTCCTGAGAAGCTTAAGAGAGCGACGATTGCTTCCCACGGCCCGTAGTCGGCCTTCGCCTGACGAAGCCGCAATGTTTTATGGGAAAGGTAGTTCTAATACTCATCGGCCAGCCGCTAGCGAATTTAATCGAAACTAAACTTCCCAGCAAGCATTGCGCCAACCTGGGAACCCGGGCAAGATGGCGGACGCAGAAGATGATGCTTTGCCGCCAGCTGCAGGTTCAACTGCTCCAATTTCATTCGGCTTCACTCGCACGTCCACCCGGAGGCGTCTTGTGGACCCGAAAGACGGCGAGAGGTCGGCCCCAGAGAAGGATTTCTTGAAGACGGTGGAAGACAGGGAACTGCAGAGGTGAATCGCGTCTTTGAACCCGTGGGAATCGGTGCAGTGGGCGCAAGCGGGAGGGTGGAATCTAAGTTACAGTGACCTTGAAATCCTGAGTAAATTAATGGAGGCGAGAAGGGGGTGTTTGTAGGAGAGGTAGGAAAATTGGGCTTGATGGCTGTGGGAATTGAGATGATACATTATCAGGAGGGAGAATTTTAGAACTTGGGGACACTGCGGTATGGGCGTTCTGAGAAAGGGAAAGGAGGGGAACATAACAGGGTACTTAGTGACTCAACTGAAATATTGGGGCCTCTCTCCAATTTGGAGAATGGGATGGAGCCGCAGATGCAAGTTAAGGGAGGCCATCTTCAGCTTAGTTAGTAAAGGAGACTCCAAAGTGCCTGAGACCTCCAGAAAAGAATCAGTGAGAATCTAGGAATAATTCCTGGAAGACACTGATATTTAAGAGTTGGGAGAACTGTGGGAGAGAATCCAATCAATGCATTGTCAGAGACATAACCGGAGAAACAGAAAGCAGAAAGAAGTGCGTGGTCCATAGGGCTGGGAGTGAGTTTGACTCTTGTATTTCCATGAATGAGGAGTGTGACTCACAACTCACCAATAATACTACTCTCCCAATCTCACTCCTCTGTGTCCACACCAGTGTGAAGCCCTCAGAAGCCCCCAAAGAGCTGGTCATCCCATTGATCCAGAATGGCTATCGCAGGCAGCCACTGGCCCAGATGACTGGGCCATCCACAGATACTGAGGCCTTGATGGATGGAGTGCTGTCCCAGGCAGTGAAGGAACTCATTGAGGGTGAGTGACCTTCCCCCTTTGCCCTGCATCAGTGAAGGAAGAGGTGAGGAAGGTGGAAGGATAGGGTGGGATCTCATTGCTCCCTCCCATTCTTCCTTAGAATCCAAGAAGTCTCTGGAGGAGAGAGAGAATGCGGGTGTCGACCCCACGCTCGCTATCCCCATGATCCAGAAAGGATGCACCCCCAACAGGAAAGGGGAAGACAGCGAACCCCAGGCTGAGACAGTGAGCTGCCCCTTGCCCCTCTTCCTGACAGCCTCTCTGCTGAGTCTGCCAGGCTTGCCACCCCATACATAGCATAGGAAATCTGTGTGTGTCCCAGAAGACTTCTGCCCATCCTTTCCTCCTTCCATTCTTTTTGGAAGCATAAATGAATAGATAACTGGGGGCTGAAAAAATTACTTGCATTCTGGGATTATCTGAATAAGATGGAGATGAAAGGGCATAAGAAATGTAAAGGCCATAAGGGCACACACTGCCTGGAGTGATTTTTGTGTTTGATTTTTCTCTCTCTCTATTTTCTTTTCTTTCTTTCTCTTTTTTTTTTTTTTGGCCTGGAGTGTTTGAGAAAAACCAAGCAGATCAATGTGGCTAGAGTGGGATGTGTGACAGTAGATGAAGGCAGAGGGGTTTAGACCAAGCAGGGCCTTAGCCAGGGTGAGGACTTTGGGTTTTACTCTAAGTGAGATGAAAGCCATGGGCAGGCCCTGAGCAGGAAAGGGTTGTGACTTGTAATTTGACAGGATCCCTCTGGCTGCTTTGAATAGAACAGACTAGTAAGTGAAGGTGGAAGCAAGGGAAACAATAGTCCATGATAGAGATTATGAGGATGCCATCAGAATGGAGAGAGGGAGCCCTAGAAAGATAGATAGGGTTTAGTGAGAGACAGAAGAACCCAGGGAGTACTTTTTATTGAACCCTGAGGTGCTCTACCACTGAGCCACATCTCCAGCCCTTTTTTTATGTTTTATGTAGAGACAGGGTCTCACTGAGTTGATTAGGGCCTTGCTAAGTTGCTGAAGCTGATCTTGAGTTTGTGACCCTCCTGCTTCAGCCTCCTGAGCTGCTGGGATTACAGGAATGGGCCACCGTGCCCAGCCCAGGGAGTAACTCTTAATGGAATCAACAGCACAAGCAATGGCACAGTGAGAGGAAATAAGTATGGTGTGTGTTCACCAGTGAGGCAACTTCTGGTGCCTCTGGAGCAATTGTAATGGATTAAAAGAGTGACAGTGGGAGGTGACAACAGGAGACATGAGAGGTGTGTCCATGGAAATAACCAAAGTCTGTCTTTCATACCCATGGATCCCACTTTTTTTTTTTTTTTTTTGGTGTGGGGGATTGAACACAGGGGAGCTTTACCACTGAGCTATGTCCCCACTCCTTTTATTTTATTTTATTTTTTGAGACAGGGTCTAACTAAGTTGCTGAAGCTGGCCTTGAGGTTGTGATCCTCCTGCTTCAGCCTCCCAAGTCACTGGGATTATAGGCATACACCACTGTATGTGGCATGGACCCAACTTTCCATCTCTTCATTCATAAGTGTTTTGCAATGATTCTTGGTGCCTATTCCTACAGCTTCAAACCACCCTTTCTTTCAGTTGAACTATTCTCATTAGCCTTTAGATGTGCCTTGATTTATTTAATGTTTTTTTTTTAAAAAAGAATCTCACTATTTCATTTCACTTCTTTTCTTTTTTTCATGCAGAGGATAGAATCCAGGGTGTTGCGCATGCTAAGCAAGTGCTCTACTACTGATCTATGTCCCCAACCCTCACTTCACTCTTTTTTCTGTTCCAGCTTTGGCTTCATTTCTCTAAAGCCTCCTCCCAAAACTGTCTATGTCTCAATTGATCACAGTTCCATACATCTTTCATCTCAGCTTAAAAATCTTGATGTAGCCTGTGGCACATGTCTGTAACAGGATTATAACTTAGGAGGCTGAGGCAGGAGGGGTGCAAGTTCAAGGCCAGTCCCAGCAATTAAGTGAGGCTGTCAATAATTTCATGAGGCTCCCTCTCAAAATAAAAATTAAAAAGGGCTGCGGATGTAGCTCAGTAATAAAGTGCCCCTGCAGTCAATTCCTAACAAAAAAGCAAACATAAAAAAATTCTTGACCTTGCTAGGAGTTGTGGTACCTACCTGTAATCCTAGTAACTCTGGAGGCTGTGGCCTGAGGATCACATATTTGAGGAAAGCCTCAGCAACTTAGGAAGACCCTGTCTCAAAATTAAAAGATAAAACAGGCAAGGGATGTAGCTCCATGGTAAAGTGCCCCTGGCTTTAATCCCCAGAACAAAACACATAATTAATAAAATGAATAAAAAGTAAAAAAGACTGGGGATGTAGGTCATTGGTAAAGCACCTCTGAGTTCAATCCCTAGTACCAAAATAATCAATCTTGGGAGTCATCCTTAATTCCCCTCTTTATTTCATACTCCATATACAGTCTTTCAGTTCAACCCCACCATTTCCCTTTTCAAAGTACATCTAGAATTGACCATTTCTCACCATCACCACTAACAACATGCTGGGCTGAGTCACCAGAATCTCTCATCTGGACTATTGTGGTTTCCCTCTTGTGGTTTCCACCTGACTGGAGACTCTCTGGCTCCTGCTCAGTTCTCTTCATTAATCTCTTAACCATCTCTTTTCTGGCTCTACATTTGTTTCAATCACATTGTGTTTCATGATATTTATCACACATACCAAATCTTGCCCTGCCTCAGGGCCTACACTCTTAACTGTTCTCTCTGCTTGGAACACTTCCTTCTCATATCCTCATGGCTCTTCCCATCTCTGCTTAAATGCCACCATAGTGGGACTCCCTCTCTGTTTCTCTGCATCCCCTTAACCTGCCTTTGTTTGTTTGTTGTTGGAGACTGCATCTTGCTATGTTGCCCAGGCTGGCCACAAAACTTCTGAACTCATGTGATCCTTGAGTTCACTCAGCAGCTGAAACAAAAGGCACATATCACTGTGCCCAGCACTACTTTAATTTTTCTTTGTAAAACTCACCATCTAATAATAAGCCAGGATAATTGACACAGGTCTATAATTCCAGTGACTCAGGAAGCTGAGGCCGGAAGATTGCAAGTTCAAGGCCAGCTTTAGCAAGTTAGTGAGACTCTGCCTCAAAAAATAGAGCTGGAGATGTGGCGATGTGGCTTAGTGGTAAAATACTCCTAGGTTCAATCCCCAGTACCTCCCCCCCCAAATTATTATTACCTAATGTATCATGCTTTCTGGATTTGATTTATTGTATGTCTTGACAACTAGAACATAAGTCCCACAAAAGCAGAGATTTTTTTTCTGTTTTTTTTCACTGCTTCCTCTCAGCACTTGCCAAGAAGATTAGTACTTGCCACAGAATAGGTGTTTTGCAAATATTTGTTGAAGGACTGAAACAGAGGAGGAGTAAAGTGAGAGGAAATAAAAATTCTGCCCTGATGCCAGGTGTGGTGGCACGTGCCTGTAATCCCAGCGGCCCAGGAGGCTGAGGCAGGAGGATTGCAAGTTCAAAGCCAGCCTTAGCAATTTAGTGAGGCATGAAGTAACTCAGCAAGACCCTGTCTCTCAATAAAATATAAAAAAGAGCTAGGGGGCTGGGGCTGGGACTCAGCGGTAGAGCACTTGCCTGGCATGCATGAGGCACTGGGTTCAATCCTCAGTACCACATAAAAATAAAATAAAGGTATTGTGTCCACCTACAACTAAAAAATATGTGTTAAAAAATACAGAAAAGGGCTGGGGATGTGACTCAGTGGTTGAGTGGCCCTGGGTTCAATTCCCAGTACAAAAAAAAAAACAGAGCTAGGGATGTGGCTCAGTGGTTAAGTGCACCTGGCTTCAATCCCTGGTACAAAACAAAACAAAAAAAACCTCTGCCCTGAGATAACTGGTCAAGAGCTAGAAGCATAGAGGGTCACCCAGTGGATGACAGCAAGTACATTTCCAGCAGATGGCCCTCCATAAGCAAAGCCTGATATCCTTCCTTTGTCTGAATATACAGGTGCCAGAGGAAGCTGATTATGATGCAGTCCCTGTCGAGGCCTATGGGCTGGCCATGCTGCGGGGCATGGGCTGGAAACCTGGTGAGGGCATCGGCCGAACTTTCAATCAGTGAGTTATGGAGTAGGGGGGAGGGGATTGATAGATGGACTGTGAACAAGATCCCCAAAGTTTCTGCCAATCCAGAACTATCCAGACAGTGAAAGAGGATACATTATCACTCTAACTAGTTCTAAGTAGCCCCTTCTACTCTTTCAGTTTCCTATTTCCCTTTAAAACTCCACAAGTAGATCCTAATTATGTAAAATTCACTTCTGAGGATCAGTTTCCTCATCTGAAAAGTGGGGTAATATAGTACTGACTTTACAAGTCTGGTTTTTGTTTGTTTGTTTGTTTGTGATATTGGGGATTGAACCCAGGGCCTTGTGCATGCAAGGCAAGCACTCTACCAACTGAACTATATCCACAGCCCCACAAGTCCATTTTGAGAGTTAGATGAAATTATATTCATAAAGCATGTACAGTGGGCCATGGCCCACAGTAAGCATAGACTAAATATTTGATACTATCACGCATATTTATAATCCCTTCTTTGTAATTGCAAATTCCAAAGAATCCTGAAAACCAAACATTTTTTTTTTCCATAAACCCCCATTTGGCAGCCAAATGACTGGAATTAGTGTTGAACATTTGATAAGCCTATTTCCCCTGCTTGGTATTCATATTCTTATGATTCTTCTGTAGAACTATTAGTGTATTTGGTTACAAGGACCTGGCTTAGACCTCACTATAAATATTAGGTAATAGATAGTGTATGCACTGTGTTATTAGGTTGAACCAAATAAAAATGCCTTTTGAGTGCTAGGGGTGTATTTCAGTGATACAGCATGTGCTTAACATGTGTGAGGCACTGAATTCAATCCCTAGCACCACAAAAAAGAAAAAAAGAATTGCTATTTTTATTTGTCAAAAAATTCCTAGGTCCTGTAATACACATTAACTTTTAAAAAATAAAAGTTATTTTAAAAACCTGAAAAGAATTCCTAAAGCTGGGGGTGTAGCTCAGTAGTAGAGCACTTTCCTGGCATGCATGAGGCACTGGGATCAATCTCTAGTATCAGTAAATAAAAACAAATAAAGATAAGACCGGGCGGCGCTGGCATACACCTGTAATCCCAGCAGCTTGGGAGGCTGAGACAGGAGGATCATGAGTTCAAAAGCAGCCTCAGCAAAAGGGAGGCACTAAGCAACTCGATGAGACCCTGTCTCTAAATGAAATAGAAAATAGGACTGGGGATGTGGTTCAGTGGTTAAGTGCCCCTGAATTCAATCCCTGGTACCCAATAAATAAATAAATAAAGATAAGGGCTGAGGATATAGCTTAGGATTAGAGCACTTGCCTAGCATGTGCAAGACCGTGGTACCACAAAAACTCCAGTCCTAATGTGAGGTTGGAAATGATATTGTTGATAATATTGATGGCATGGGTTTGGATGATGGGGTGTAGAATGAGGCACTAAAGACTACTGCATCTTTCCACAACCCTGTATTCCTTTCTACAGAGTAGTGAAGCCCCGTGTCAATTCACTGAGGCCCAAGGGGTTAGGGCTGGGTGCAAACTTGACTGAGGCCCAGGCCTTGGCCTCCACTGGCTCTGACACCCTACTGAGGCCAGATGGGGAGCAAGAAAAAGATAAGGAAGACCAGCCTCAAGGGCTCGTGCCTGGAGGAGCAGTGATGGTTCTTTCTGGCCCTCACCGAGGCCTCTATGGAAAGGTAAGTAACCAAGATATCCCTGGAGCTCAAGCAGGGAAGATGGATTTGAAGGCCAAAGGGAGGAAGAATTAGGTTTGGTGCTGGAAGCAGTGGTGCCCGCCTGTAATCACATCAGCTCGGGAGGCAGAAGGCAGGAGGATCACGAGTTCAAAGCCAGTCTCAGCAATTTAGCAAGGCCCTAAGCAACTTAGTGAGACCCTATCTCTAAATAAAAAATATTAAAAAGGGCCTTGGGATATGGCCCTGTGGTTATGTGCCTGACCAAAAATAAATAAATAATTGGGTTTGGAGTAGAAAGGCTCAGAGTCGTAGTCTTTCAGGCCTGCTTGACCCACTGCCTCACTAGGTAACTCAGGACCATTTGATGGGTTTTTATGAGTCTTAGTTCCTAGCCAAAGAAAAGAGAAATGTCAAATGCCACAGGGTACTTGAGGATTAAATGCTTAAAGAATATTTGAGCTGAACAGTCTGCTGAGACAGACAGAGGAACTGGTCCCAGTTCTTAGGGATCATAGGTTAGTAGAAGAGACAGAGGAACCAGACCTGTTCTCAGCCCTCATAGGTCATAGCCTGGTGGGAGAGACACACAGGACTCAAGCCTATTGGAAGTAAGGGGTGGACAACTTGGTCCTAGGTGGATGGGGTCCATTTAACCCCTCTCTGACTTCTCTCTCCCCTGACTCTAGGTGGAAGGCCTAGATCCTGACAATGTGCGGGCCATGGTCCGTCTAGCTGTGGGCAGCCGCATGGTGACTGTTAGTGAGTACTGTCTGCGACCTGTTTCCCAGCAAGAGTTTGACAGAAACTCCCTGCATATTGGTGAGTGAGTCAATTTCATAGATGGGGGATTTGGAGGAACACTGGAGGTCAGCAAGGCCTGTCTTGTGGGGTGGGTTTTTGATCTGCAGAGGCCATGGGCAGTGGTCTGCCTGGCTGGTTTTACTTCTGGTCAGAGGTCAGAACATGAAGAGTTTATTCATATTTTTGTTTGTTGGTGCTAGTATCCAGGGCCTCCTACATACTAAGCAGGCATTCTACCACTGAGTGACACCCCAGCCCAGTTTATTCAGTGAGATTGAAGAAAGATTGATCTAGTACCCCTAGGTCTTTGGCCTCTCTTTAAGGGGAAAGAAATGGGTGTGGAAAATAATTCCTACTCTCTGGAGGTCCTTGTCTATCGGGGATGATGTCACTGTCTTTTGCTAGGAAGGGAGACCTACAGTTAGGGTGTAACCAAAAGGAGGCTGGCAGAGTAGTCCAGGTAAAGGCATGACAGTAGGAGGGATTTGGCAGATGGATGATGATAGCTCTCCAGGGTTCTGTAGTGCACACTAGGTGGCTACTTCTGGTGAATACTTGGCATGGGCTGAGTGATTAAGAAAAGCTTCCTGAAGGAGGCCAAAACCGTGCAGCACAAGGGGAAAAGCATTCTTAATAGCCCCGGCAAAGGCACAATGGGGAGAGGGGTGCTTTGGCAGGTGGGAGATGGCCTTAGGGTAAAATGTGGCCTTGGAAAGGGCAGTAAGAGCTGGGTGCAGTGGTTTACATTTATAATCCCAGCTTCTCAAGAGGCTGAGGCAGGAGGATCACAAGTTCAAGACCAGCCTTAGCAACTTAGCAAGACCCTGTCTCAAAAAAAAAATGTTTTTTAAAGGATGGGAGATGTAGCTTAGTGGTTAAGCACCCAGAGGTTCATTCCCCACTACCAGCAAAAAAAAAAGTGAGACAGTGAGGTTCTTTCTGGCTTTCCCTTCACCCCCTTGAACAGGCCAGGTGAGCAGAACTTCACTGGGACAACAGAATGGAACAGGCTCATCACGGAAGGCCCTCCAGAATCAAGACCTCCATGTCCGCTGGGAAGACTCAGAGAGGAAGCGGAAACACCCTCCAGACCGGTGAGACTCTGGGCATCTGGGGAGGAGGAAGAAGACAGGGTTGTGGGGAGGCTTGAGCACAGAGAGAGGGCTTCTGGTGCAAGGAGGGTGCAGAGATGTAACTAGCAACAGCAGTATGAGTGGGTTTCACAGCATAGACAAGGGTAAGGTGTCTGGAACATGTGTGTGATAAAGATCTAATGCTGGTGCTGGCCCTCTCTCCACAGGAATGATGGGCCTGCAGCCAAGAATAAGAAAGCAACCCCCATGACCCAGCACTGGTTACACAGGGACCTGCGTGTGCGGTTTGTGGACAAGCTACACAAGGGTGGCCAGTATTACAACACCAAGGTGCAAAGACCACAGATTTAGGAACCCTTCCTTACCCAGGGACTGGGCCCCTTACCTCTCTAAACATCTTTCATTTTCTTCACCCATCTCCTAGATGACAATTGAAGATGTCTTGAGCCCAGACACCTGTGTGTGTCGGACAGATGAAGGCCGAATCCTAGAAGGTGAGTCTGAGCTATGGTAGCTGGGGCATTCACATCCTGGAGGTTGAATGTCTGAGGCCAAGAATCTTGCCCAGGCATGGGATGTGCAAGGTTCTGGGTTCCACCCCTAGCAACACACACACACACACACACACACACACAGCATAGACAAAGGTAGGTTCCAGGGTCTGGGCTGTGGCTAGCAACTTAGTACCAACTGAGCTATATTCCCAACCCCAAAATGAAATTTTTAAATAAGAATTGGTGATGTAGACCTGGGGTTCACCCCTAGTACTAAACAAACAAACATACTGTATATTAATGCTCCTTTTTTTTACGGTTATTTCTTTTTTTCTTTTTTGGTACTAGAGATCAAAAACAGAGATTTAAAAATTTTTTTTTAAATTTGTTCCTTTTAGATATATATGACAGTAGAATGTATTTTGATATATTATACATATATGGAGTACAACTTATTCTAATTTTGGATCCCATTCTTGTGGTTGATCATGATGTGGAGTTACACTGGTCGTGTATACATACATGAACATAGGAGAAACCAGAGATACTTTGCCACTGAACTACATCCTCAGCTCTTTCTATATGGTTTTTTTTTTTTTTTTTTTTTTTTGAGGCTAGCCTTGGACTTGTGATCCCCTGCCTCAGCCTCTGGAGTCACTAGGATTGCAGGCATGCACACTGCACCCAGCCTTTTTACAATTATTTCTATGAATTGCTCCCTAGGCTTCCTCACTTGTTCAGTGGGTTTGGTGGCACCTTATCTGTCAACAGGATGTAAAGTGGCTCTAGGGAATATGTAAAAGGCCCTTCTGGGAGACCTGGCTAGGCTGGCCCTTGCTGCAGGCCTCACTCCCCTCTCCCCCCATTTGCAGGCCTGAGGGAAGACATGCTGGAGACCCTGGTTCCCAAGGTAGAGGGCAACCGTGTGATGGTGGTACTGGGGCCACAGGCTGGAAGAGTAAGTCCCAAAACTGGAAGTGGGATCATTCAAAGGGTGTTCCAGGGTCTGGGCTGGCCTTGCTAACTTCATCTCACACCTGCTCCAGGTGGGACACCTGCTGAGCCGAGACAGAGCAAAGAGCCGGGCTTTGGTGCAACTACGGAGAGATAAGCAATTAGTAGAGCTTCACTATGATGCTGTCTGCCAATACATGGGCCCAAGTGACTCAGATGAAGACTGACCCATGGGACCACTACCATCCCATAGGCTGTTGCCAGTTTTGTACTGTCTGACAAAGTTGCCTTCAGGAATACAAGAAGATAATTGCTCCATTCTCCCTTGCAGTGCAGTCCTGCAGGGCAGGGACAGGGGAATGGATGAATGGACCAGAAAAGAAACTGGAAACAAACCCAATATTTACCAGAATTGAGTAAATAATAAAAACCATTTTAGGGCTGGGGTTTGGCTCAGTGGTAAAGTGCTCGCCTCACACATGAGAGACCCTGGGTTCGATCCTCAGCACCACATAAAAATAAATAAACAAAATAAAGATATTGTGTCCATGTATAACTAAAAAAAATTAAAAAAAAAATAATAAAAAAAAATAAAAACCATTTTAAATATTTAGTAGATGAAATTATAATTTGGAAGTGAGGTGGGACCCTTGCTGAGGTAGGAACCATTTCATTTCCCAGCCTAACCTCCCTGCTCAGGCTATACTAGACAAGTTAAATGACCCAGATAATCATGAATTCATTCTTAGCATATAGAAATTATGAAGTCCATCCCTGACAGACACTATGGAATCTATAATGCTACATCTCTGAAGAACTTCCTGAGTGCTACAGTTTAGAAGTCAAATGTCCCCCAACAGTCCATGTGTCAAAGGCCTTGTCCTTGGGGTGGCACTATTGGGAGGTGCTCTGGACTTTTAAGAGTTGAGGCCTCGTGGGAAGTCCTTGAATTATTGGGGGCATGCCCTTGTAGGGGATTGTGGGACTCTGGGCTCCCGTTTTCTCACTTTTGTTCTTGGTTCATGAGGTAAGTACTTTTGCTCCACTATATAACCCCCCATGATACGCGCTTTGCCACAGGCCCAATGCAATGAGGCCAGTCAGTTATGGATTGGAACCTTCAAAACTTATAGCCAAAATAAACCTTTCCTTGTAAAAAGTTACTTATCTCAGGTATTTCATCATAGTGGAGATAAACCAACTAATAACACTGAGAACTATAGCAGTGGGTTCTGTTTGACTCACGGTCAAGACAGATTCCCAGAAACTATCCTCAGCAAATTGTGTGTGTGTGTGTATGTGTGTGTGTTTTCATATTATTTTTTTAAATATTTTTTAGTTGTAGTTGGACACAATATCTTTATTTTTATTTATTTATTTTTATGTGGTGCTGAGGATCAAACCCAGTGCCTCACACGTGCTAGGCAGGTGCTCTACCGATGAGCTCCAGCCCCAGCCCCTGTGTATTCATATAATATGTGAACAAATTGTTGATGCAAGTCAAGAAGAAGGGAGGCTTCTATCTACAGATGGAATTGTGAGTTCTAATTTATAAAGGAGCCAGTTCACTAATGGGCCCCTATTTTAGTCCCAAACCTTTTGCCTGGTGGTAAAAAGTGTTGCTTGACTCAGGTAAAATTTCTTTGCTTCTTCCAGGTAATTATGTTCTCAAAAGGCTATTGTTAGTGGGGCCAAGTGGCACATGCCTGTAACTCCAGCTACTCCAGAGGCTGAAGCAGGAGGATTGCAAGTTAGAGGCCAGCCTGGCAATTTAGCAAGAACTTGTTTCAGAAATAAAAACGGCTGGGGGTCTGACTCAGTCGGGGAGCACTTGCATAGATAGCATGTGTGAGAACCTTAATTTGTTCCCCAGCACCACAATGAAGAAAAGTTATTGTCAGAGAATCCTGAACCTGTTTGATCACCTGAGATACACAAATCAGCCAGAGACATCACAGTTTTAGAAACAATTGTTTCTAAATCATCCCTAATTGTTAAGTAATTATTGTGATAACTTGTATTTGACTTAGATCTAGGCCACTGGTGAAAAGAAATGATAGGCAGAAGGTGGTTGTCTGAGTATCATACGAACACTCAGCCTAGAATGGATAATAAAGATAAATTGAGGCTGGGGTGTAGCTCAGTGGTAGCTTCTGGACTGGGATTCATAAGATCCTGGGTTCCATCCCCAGCACTGCAAATGACAGTATAAAGCATAATGTAAATTACTATCCTGGTGCAGGGGCACACACCTTATATTCCCAGCTACTCCAGAGATTGAGACAGGAGGTTTTCAAGTTGGAAGTCAGCGATAAATTTCGGTCCCTGCTGAGCAAAGACAAACTGGAGTTCATAGCCAAAATGAACAGGTATAGAAAAAATGGTCATGTGCCTAGTAGGGATGATTTTTAAAAATCTTCCAATATAGTAGCCATGGCATGAAATAGTTGTTACAGACCAATTTAATATGTCATCCCTAATTAATTCAAGAATTCATCTGTTTTCAGGATTGACCAAACAGGCAGACAGTGGGAAGTAACCCTCACCTCTTCTCCATTCCTAATTGGGATTGTACACAATGTCCACAGAATTCCAAGCTGACTTAATTTTTTTATTTTGTTTTTGGAGACAGTCTAGCCATGTTGCCCAGGTTGTCCCAAGGTCCTGGTCTTAAACAGTCCCCCCTACCTCAGTCTTAGTAGCTTGGACTCTGGGCATATGTACATTTAATCTTAGGGGAGGAGGGTTCCCACCATGACATGTCCGATAATTACTTTCCTATATGATGTGCTTCACCCAAACAAAATGTCTTCTTCCTCCCCTCTTGAAATCGTAATAAACCAATCTTGGTAACCATTCATCTCAGGAGGAGCAGAAGCTCCCTGGGGAATAAATGGCACTGGTCCTCTGTGTCTGCCCTGTAACGTGGTCTGACGAGCCATTTCAGACATTCTCTCCATCTCTTTCATGGGCCAGAATACTAAAATAAAACAGATTTTTATCAGCTTCAGATTTCATGGAATTAGTGTTTCTACTGAACCCACAATTGAAAATGAGCTCTAAAGTTTGTGAGTATAGCCCTTTTGAACACCTAGCCCTAGGCAGAATACCTGGTTTCCCTGAAAGATCATTGAGCTTTCAATGTTTCCCCTTGAGAGGAGGCCTGATCCCTCATTTTGAGGACAGGACTTGTTACCTTCAGAGATGCTTGCACAAAGTAAGGAGGCTTGTCAAATCTGCCTTTTGTTTATGGTGCAGAAAAGCTGGTTGCTAAAGGTCCTTTGAGTCGGCTTGTGCGTATTTTGTTTTACAGTCCTCCTTCCATATCCATGGATTTAAGCAACCAAGAATCAAAAGATATTTTGGAAATAAACAGCGTTTGTACTGAACATACACAGACTATTTTTCTTGCCCCTATTTCTTAAACAATATGTAACAACTATTTACATAGCATTTACGTTGTGTTAGGCATTATAAGTAACCTAAAGGGGATTTATAGTATATGGAGGATATGTATAGGTTATATGCAAACACTATACCATTTTACAAAATATACTTGAGCATCCCAGGATATTGGTATCCAAGGGAGAGGGTGCCTGTGACTAATCCCCCACAGGTACCAAGAGACCACAATACACACACACACACTTTTTTGTGTTATTGGTAGTTGAACTCAGAGGGTTCTACCACTGAGCTACATGCCCAGATATTTTTACTTTTTGAGACAGATTCTCGCTAAGTTGCCCATCTTAATGGGCAATCCTTCTGCAATCCTTCTGTCTCACCCTCCCAAATAGTTAGGATTACAGGTATGTGCCACCATGACCAGTAACCACTGTATTTTGGAAAGATATTGCTTACAAGATATTGATCCCCACACCTCAAGCTCTGAATAGGTAATAAGATATGGGGGTCTTCCACACTTTGATCCCCATTACATGATGAAGACCTTGGCATGGGGAGAGTTCAGCTGCTGTTCTTTAAGACCAAACTGAGGCTAAGATGGCAAAATTTACATTACCACACCATCCTCCTCCCCTTACCTTCCTGCCACTCCTGGCCCTTGGTATCCACAACTGTGGGGTACCTCCTGTGGACAGGAACAACCTAAGGGAGCATCATTTCCAACCCCTCAGACCCAGTGCTTACATTTTTAAAAAAATTCTTTTTAGTTTTAGATGGACACAATATCTTTATTTTATTTTTCTTATGGAGTGCCGGGGATCAAACCCAGTACCTCAGGCATCCTAGGCAAGCTCTCAACCACTGAGCCACAACCCCAGCCTGAAGTGCTTACTTTTAATAAGAAACATTTTTGGAGGCCTCTTTTTATCATCCTGAAGTGACATTCACGTATGTTACCATTCTTGTGTGAGGCTGCTGCCAAAATCAGGCCCAAGCCCATTGAATGCCAAAGCATCATCATGGTGAAAACCAGAATCTGCCTATCAGGAATCCCAAAACACACCTCCAGGGCAGGCAGGAACAGAACCCTGTCTGTCTTGTTCACTGCAGTATCCCCACCACCTAGAACAAGACCCTGCATGCAATGAGGAGAAAACTGTACAGTCTAGGTATCTATGCTATGGTTTATTGTCCTCTTCCAACAAGGCTTCCCTGTCCTTTCTTCACTCCCCCTGCCAGAGGAAAAGGAGAAAAAACAACTCATGAGTGCCAGAGGTCCAGCCTCCTCCCATAGAGTTGTCCATACTGTTCACTGAAGCTATGGACAAATGGATCTCTCAGTCCTGGTGGGGGTAGGTGAGGACTGGGTCTGCACAGAAAAGCAGAGACATCTATAAAGGTAAGAATGTGGGGCTGGGGTTGTGACTCAGCAGTAGAGCCCTCGCCTCACACTTGCCAGACCCTGGGTCCGATCCTCAGCACCACATAAAAAAACAAGTGAAATAAAGGTGTTGTCTCCAACTACAACTAAAAAATAAATATGAAAATTTTTTTAAAAAGTTAAAAAGGTAAGAATGGGCACGTGGGGCTGAGGTTGTGGCTCAGCGGTAGAGTGCTGGCTTAGCATGTGCAAGTCGCTGGGTTCGATCCTCAGCACCATATAAAAATAAATAAATAAAGGTTAGAAGAAAAAAAAAAAAAGAATGGGCACATGCCTGTACTCTCAGCAACTCAGGAGGCTGAGGCAGGATCCCAATTGAAAATCAGCCTCAGCAACTTGGTAAGACCCTGTCTCAAAATAAAAACAACCAAAAAAAAAAAAAAAGGAAAAAAGGATTGCCTGGGAGTATTGGGAGTATAGCACAGTGACACAGTATGTATTAGAACACTTGCCTGGTATGTGTGTGGCCCTGGGTTTGAGCCTCAAAACTAGTGGAGAAAAAAAGCGCTGGCCAAGTGGTTAAAACTAGAATCTGAAGCCCTCCAGCCTAACTCATCTCAGCTGTGTACCTTCTGGTAATTTTGAATGCCTC